GSYAAAATGCGGAAAAAAAAAAAATTAAGAGAAATTGTATTAATCTCAAAACGAAATTCAACTGACATCATCACCGGTATAAAACTCATATATTTCATAATTAATGATTAAGAAGTTGAATGTTCTTGTGACTTTAATTTTTTAGGTCGTACTCGTCGGCATCATGGGATTGGTTTTGGTGAAGAGGTCCAGTCCTTACTCTGCTTTGGTGAGAATTAATAACACGATAAACTCTTAAACTTGCCTTGTGTGTTTTTGTTTTCGCCTTTCTATAATTCTTTGCTTGTTCCCACTAAGTATGTCAATGAAAGAGTATTATGATGGTTGACCGAGTGTTTCGCACTTCTAATTCTTACGATTAAATCACGCATTCGCGCACAATTTATACGCAATGAAGACTTAGCTTTCCTTGTCATTCATTATTGCAGACAAGTGGCCTAATCTCTGTGAGCATGACAAGTGCTGCTCTAGCAGTACTTACCATTTTTACCTATGCGATGGCACTCAATGACATATTGTTCTACAAATATTATGAGGCCGAAACTGAAAAAAGCTCTGACAATACCTTTCCATGGTTTGCTGGTAAAAACTCGGAAATCCAGTTCCAAAAAGAGGAAAAAACCATGATAGCTGTACATGTCTTGATTATCATGTGTTCCATCCTCGAAGTCATACTTGCCATGGCAAGTGTCCGAACCGGCAAGGCACTGGCTAAGGAGCCAAAGGAAACCCAGGTTTGTGAAGTTACTTGATATGCAGCTAACAAAATTGAGATGAAAAAGATGAAAGAACTTATGATTCCAAAGCACTACAGTCCAAACCTTCTGTTGTTGGTTCTCGTCCTTGCTCCGAGGGTTTTCTCCGGGACTTCCGGTTTTCCTCCCTCCGCAAAAACAAACATTCCAAATTCCGATTCCATCTGGAAACAGTGGACAAGAAGAGCTACCCAATGGAATGTCCATTGCTAAATTATTTATTATTATTTATTTTTATTATTATTATTAAGTTTCTTGTTATGTTTTCATATTAAAAGAGGATATAGGGGTACATAACGTTCTCTTAATGCAAACAAAGTCATCTTGTTTTTGGCAGGATTTTCACATTACATTTTCTTTTTTCATATAGCAAATACCAAACTATTTAACTCAGAATTCCATTACCGTGAGAGAATTTTAGAGATCGGTCGTTCTTTGTCGTCTTGGGCGTTCGGGGGATTTTGGTTGTGTCGCAATAAAATTTACCTAGTATCTTTACGTCCCTCCCCCCCCCCCTCCCCCCCTCTTAATGGCGGTCAGTTTTCTCAATTACCCCTTCAAACCTTGTTAGCGTCGACTGAATCCCCCCTCCGTCCTCCCTAAAAACCATATGATCCCCAAAAAGCCTCCGACCAACGCCCCCTCCCCCAAGGGGATGAATGATGACTGTTTCCTCACGTAAAATGCTTTTCGTAATATTTTGTAAACAGGCAAGCGTTGGATATCGCCAAGTGGCAGAGGAAGATGTCCCCTTGTTGTTCTCCTCAGATCAAGAGACAGACTAGTTGATATCAGCTCCATACACTGCTAGATAGAGGACGACCTAATAACATGATGACGTAACGTAGCTAAACGCTTTTTAAACGACATGGAAGCAAATTGATTGTTATAACCACAAAACATGAATGTTACTAGTAGTAATTTGATTCATTCCGTTTCCAAGATTTTGGAAAAATATCTGAAGATCAAAATGTAGTTCGTAGCTTGAAGAAAGCGTAAAAGATAACTAACGAATAATTCCCAACGAATGTAGAATAATGGTTAGCAACTTTCAACTTTAACGCCCCACCCTCCTTCCCAATCCACCTCCGTCGTTTCAAGTCTTTCTATCACCACTTGGTGTAGAATCATGGTCATATACACCCTAAAGTCAGCATGCATATTCTCCATACTGTTCTCTTTAGATTTCCAATGGTATCGACAAAGAGAATTTTTTTTACAATCAAGAGCCTTTTTCGTTCGCGATCATTTTCTTCATTCTCGTTACCTAACTGTTTGATTCAGGGGTTATGCTGTCAAGAAAAAAATTGGATAGGAAAGAACCGCGTTTACGTGAAACGGCAAACGTAAGCTTGGCCTTTCACGTTTCACTTATTTTATAAAATAACGTGAACATATTACTGCTTTAGCTTCTCGTGTGCTCACTTCACGGTGCATCTGAAAGTGCCCTTATATGACTTGCGGGAAATAGGTATGGTGTACTTTTTTTAGCAATTAACCTCTACTCTGTGAGAGAAAAAGTGAAGAAAATCTTACGTACACGGCAAACGCGAAATAGGTTACTTTCAAGTAGACACGGTAAAGCACAACCAGCAAACGTGAACAAAATGGTGGGAAAAGCGTGGTCACGTAGTCACTCTTGCCGCTCACGTTTCACGTAAACGCGGTGCTAAAAGATCGCACTGAAATTATCGCCGACCGGAAACCGAGGCCTTGAGTTTACCGTTTGCCGTTACCAGTTTTCCTCCTAGGCTTATAAAGAATCGTGTTAAGTGTCCCTGTCTGAGAAAGTGTTCCAGGAGCCAAAAGTGGTGGTCAACCAATTTGGCTGAAACTTGGCACAAACGTTCAGTGTGATAAGATATATCAAAAGCCACTTTGGCTCACTTCTCTGACTGTTCTGGAGTTTCAGGGGGGGGTGCCATTAGTGGCCTATGGTGCACCAAAAATTCATCCTCCTAAGTGGCATTTTCAAATTGCTATAAAACTCCATTGGTAAATTGTGCTGCCAAATGAATTTGACCATGGACTCTACTATAGTGGAGCTTTTACTTCATAAATGTAACTTTGTTTTCAAGCGATTAGACCGAGAGGGGCCTGGGGCCAAAGGTCAAATTCGAGGTCAAAATCACTAGCCAAAATTGCCATTTTTCAAAAAACCATAACATTCCCCTGCCTTCTTGCATAACTTTCATACCAAATCCAGTATGTACTTTAGTGACCCTTTTATCAAAATCAGTTGAGCAAAATTTGGCCTATTAAGGTTTGTTAAGTTTTTGGCGCAAACTCTCCATGCCTCTCAAAGGCCAAGCAAAATGGAATTTTGAGCATAATTCATGCTATGAACGGACCAAAGTCTTGACACAAAGCCTTTATTTTGTATTTGGTGAGTGAAAATGAAACATTTAAGCCAAATCAATGTCATTACCTAGAAATATCTCGACTCGTAGCTTATGATTACTCTAAGGCCTCGATCTTATTAGCACTGCCAACACCTAGTGGTTTAGCAAAATAAAGGTAATTTTTTTGTATGTTTGTGAGGCCATATATCCATACATATTATACTCCAAGCGCGCAAAATCTCCATATTTTGCCAGGCCGTTTTTTAAACTGAAAATAAGGTGACCTTAACCCAGCCGGCCTTAACCATTAAGCTCAGAATAAAACGATCGTTAAAAGATGATCTACGCCTGACCTTTGAATAGATTGAAAAGCTCTCGCAAATACCCATCACTTATAGCGCGGAGCATGACCATAAGCTAACGTATCACAGTGAGCACCGTCCAGGTGACTTGTGATCCATCAGAGATCTTGTGTACTTTAGAACTGAATAAATGGAACCGTCCAACAAAGAGGGAATCCACAGTCAGAAGAGCTGGATGACAAAAAATTATTGTTGCTGTTTAAATGAAATATTTCACACGAGACATGGGATGCTGCCAATAGGGTCCGCCATTTTGGACGTGAGAGTATTAAGACTGGATTGAGTTTCCATTCCTCTCACTATTCAAGTGAAAATGTTTGTGTCCTTATCAAGTATTGAAAGTATAGCAATAAGAAGTTTCAGGATAATTTTACGATGGCACTTTATTCCTTTTGAGGGGGGGTGAATGATCAATGCGGTGTTGCATCATGGGCTCCGCTGCGCGAAACAGGAATGACTCCTTTGTTGTCTTAAGATAAGGACAAGACTACTTGAGTAAAAAACACAAGTACAAGGGTTCAGATGAGTCCGGAGCGAGAGGAAGATCGGGTGATGCCATAGCTACAAGTACAAGTAATTCAAAATATACGAAAGGGCTCATACACGCGCATAAACTGTAGCAAATGGCTTTTTTAGTGCCACTCTCGCTAAGAACGGTCCTCTCAACTTCCCGTCAAAAAAAAATTCTCCTTAGTTTTTTTCCTATGAAAAGGGTTTAGGAAACACGTTTCAAAATAGTTTGATGGTTTTCCAATTTTCTTTTGTATGAACATTTCAACTTTCGCGAACTCTCTGCCAAGGGAAGATTAACTAAAAACTCAGTCAACTACAGTCATTGTGCGAGTTTTTTCAACGTTGAAATTATAGGTAGTGCTAATCGTAAGGCATTGTATTATGAATCTTTTCTACGGTAAGCAAATTCCTGTGATTACCGCAAGCGATGGTCAACAGACCCGCGTTACTCAAACCTCAGTGAAGGTTGCGTGACTCCTGGACATGGTCCAGTCCTCTCACTCTCACGTCCAATATGGTGGGTCAGTCGATACAATAACAATCGCATCTCGCGGTATGGCATGGCATGTTTCATATGAACTGCAACACAAAATATTTGTTATCCAGCTCCTAACTATGGATTTCTTATTTACTGCCGGATGATTTAATTTATTCAGCTCTAACGTACTAGGGAAATCGGATGGATCTCAAGTCACTTGGACGCTACTCACTACAACCTGTACGTACCATCCTGCTCTGTTACTGATGCCATCGTGCGTATTTACAAGAGCTAGCGAGGCTATCGAAAGTTTAACCATAGATCTTCTGTTAAAGGTCGTTTTCGTTAAGCTCACTTCAGACTGCATCAAAAAATGGGCCTGACAAACTATAGAGACTTTGCATGCTTTTGCGGAGTATAGTATGTATGGAGAGAAGACCTGAAAAATATAAATCAAAGGAAATTTAAGCATCTTTAACAAATATTGTCATATCTAGGTCATAACATCATCATTTGTGTTCTTTGATGGGTACTAGGTTTTCAAAGAAAAAAATTACCTTTATTTTGCTAAACCGCTGGGTGTTTGTAGAGCCAATCAGAGGCCTTCTTAGAGTAATTATAAGCTATGAGTCGAGGTATTTCTAGATAATGACATTGATTTGGCTTTAATGTTTCATTTTCACTCACCAAATACAAAATAAAGGCTTTATGTCAAGACTTTGGTCTGTATATAGCTTGGATTATGCTCAAAATTACTTTTTGCTTGGCCTTAGAGGGGCATGGAGAGTTTGTGCCAAAAACTTAACAAACCTTAATAAGCCAAATTTTTCTCAACTGATTTTGATAAATGGGTCACTAAAGTGCGTATTGGATTTCATATGAAAGTTATGCAAGAAGGCAGGGGAATGTTATGGTTTTTTGAAAAATGGCAATTTTGGCTAGTGATTTTGACCTCGAATTTGACCTAACTTTAGCCCCAGGCCCCTCTCTGTCTTATCTCTAGAAAACAAAGTTACATTTATGAAGTAAAAGCTCCACTATAGTAGAGTCCATGGTCAAATTCATTTGGCAGCACAATTTACCAATAGCACTTTGAAAATGCCACTTAGGAGGATGAATTTTTGGTGCTCCATAGGCCACTAATGGGATCCCCCCTGAAACTCCAGAACAAACTGTCAGAGAAGTGAACCAAGGTACCTTTTGAAATATCTTATCACACTCAACTTTTGTGCCAAGTTTCAGCCAAATCGGTGACCTCCACTTTTGGCTCCTGGAACACTTTTCCAGACAGGGACACGTAAGTACTGGCCGCGATATTGTACTTGAAGGTTGCGCGGTTGCTAGTTATTGTTCAAACCTCGTAAGAACAAAACTGTTCGCTTGTTAATATCAAAATTTATGGGAAACGCAAGGTAAAAAGTTGTTTCTGTATATCAGTGACAGACATACGTAGGATGACATGACATTTATACAAACAAACGTTGGGGCGAATGACTCATGCGAAAACCAACTTCTAGCCATCAATTTATTCCAGCAAACGTGAGGCGAATGTCTGGTCACATGACCCATAGAAGTTTAAGGGGAGGGTATGGAGTCAAAATCAAGCATACGGAGCGTCGTGTTGATGAAGTTAAAATAAATTCGTCAGCAAATTTGACCAATATTCCGGCCACGGTTGCTTGAAGGGTAGATGACGCTTTCCACTTGATAAACCTCTATCCGTTGGAAAGTGCAGTACGTTTTGTGAAAACTTAAACCGCTATTCAACTATAATTAACTATTCAACGACGTATCATCATATGACTTCTCAAGTTAATTTTACAATCACTGATCATCTCTCAGGCAGACAAGTCTGAAAACTTTCATTTTTATTGCCCAATTTCCTTGACCACACAATGCTTACACAATATATGTATTGGATCCCGTGTCGCGTTCAGACAAATCAGACCAGAAAAATATTTCATGGATTATAACCTATCGATTAATACCAAAGTATTAATACTCACCATATCGTTAAATGTTTTCAGGAAGGCTTTCCTTATGAACGACTCGAAGCTGATCAGACGCCCATCCAACTGAAAGGGCAGCCGACTTTAGTTGTAGCCCAACCAGTGGTGGCTATTCTGGGATCATCCGATCCATTTTTACTCACTGTGAATCAGCAAATACCACGTACGCTCCAATAAGCCCCAGAGGAAGGGAGGGGAGAAAGGGGAGGAGTTAATCGAGTTCTAGGGCTTTTTCAGCCGGGAGGCTTATCAGCGAGAAGAAAGGAGAGAGGAGACTTGGTTAAGTATGATTCCCTTCCCTCACTCTTAAATGAGTTAAAAAACAACAACGACAACCATAGCAAAACAAAATAAGAAAAGAAACTTCTCTATAGCCAAAAAGAATAGAATAAAGTTGGACCTAGTTTAGTAAAATTCCCTCCACATTTATTCAGTTGAGTTAGAAACAAGTTATAAAAAAAGATTCTATGAGAGTGAAGATTGCTCTGGGAACTTATATGAGCGTCAAAAGAATGACTTGCT